GTGACAGCAGCACATAGTTAATATATATTTACTTTTGGCCATGCCAGGCACAATTCATTCAAGCATCTCCAAATCCAAGAAATCCTCTGAAGATTTCCAGGGCTGGGTAGGCAGTTAGGCTCATGCAAGCCTCTATAAAGGAATCAGTGAGAAAGCTAAAGAGGAAAACCTTCAGTTTATTTTTCCAAGTATTTAAAATTGAACACATACCATGCTGCATTGTAGATAGGAATTCATTAAAATCCGGGATTCAGGGAGAACTTACAGTTTTCTTAAATAATCATGTATTTTGAGATTTTTTTTCTTGTCCATGCTTTTATACCCTGCTGAGCTCCCCTCTTTACGATATGCTGAAACCTCTTCTTTCACCTGTCCCAGTCCCTGCTTTCCCCTCCCACTTCCTCTGTCCCTCCTTTCACTCAGCCCTGCCGCCCTCTCTGCACAGAACTCAGCACATGCCCAGCCCCTTCCTGCTCCCTCTGAAAACCCATCTGTGCTGTGAAACTCCCCACCTACAACGACCCCATCTTGCTGTCTGGATCCCACTCTCTCCTTGTTTTCTCAGTTTAAATCTCTTGACTTCAGAGGTGTTGCTTCTCCTCTTGCAGCTTTCAGCAAGAGTCAGAACCACTGCATCTGCCCGGGCTGTTCAAGGATAAAGTCTTCCTGGGGAAAAAGAGGCTCCTGCTGTTTGCTCAGCAAAACAAAGCCCTCTGTGCCCTTACAGCTGTGTATTAACAATATTCCCAGGTTGAACTGGAGCTTCTTCCCAAGAAAAGAGCATCCTGGTCTCAAACTCTTCTGCTTCTGTAAGGCAGGGAAAAGGCATTTGGCAAAACCTTTTCCCAGTTGGGAATTGCTAGTGAGGCTTAGGGAAGGCTTCTGCTAGAGGTTGCTTCTGCACATTGCCACATCCTCAGCCCTTTCCCAGGGAAGCCTACTCCATGCATACTGTTCAGCACATCATCAAGAGGCTTTTCCTTTTGCCTAGAAATTTTCAAGGAAGTGCCAGAGATGGTTTTCATATACATGAAGCCTGAAGAATGTGTACCTAGCAACTTTGTATTTATAGACATGTTACTAATTCCAGATTTTGGTGCAGTTCATGAGCACCAAAACCACTTTATAACAAGCGGCAATTTTTGTTACTGTCTGAAATACTGAGTTTCGTCTGTAGCAGAGTGCAGATCCTTTGCTGTCATTCCCATACCTTCTCACAATGTCCTTCCTTCCCTCCCAGTAAAACCACCTCACCACTGGTGGATGGAAAGGCACTTCAGAAAAGGAAATACCTTCTGGAGAGCTACAGATCCCTCATACTCAGTACAGTCATTGGCCTGGGACTTGGTGGATACTTACAAGAATTGCATGAAGTTGTATATTTAGAGTATTGATGATGAGTATTCAAACCCACAGCATCTAAAAACAAGTATAGCTTATCCCAGAGACACCTCCCTGATGATTTCTGTGTAGGAAGAAACAGACACAGTGAAAGGGAAGTGAAACATTTTGCCCGAAATGGCATCTTACAGAATCAGATCTTTGCAGTGACAAATGTGCACTGAACAGAGCAAGATTTCACATATTCTAAATGTGTCCTTAGGCATTTTTGTCATGATATGAAACACCAAAGCTGAAGCTGCCCATCGATTCTGCAGGTTTGTCGACTCTAAGTGTTTTGATGTCTGGGCACTGAGGTCTGTGTTTACCCTGATTTCTTTATTTGCTGCTTACCTGAGCAGATTTCTGTGCCTCCGTTAATCCTCATTGATTTTCCTGGGAGTGAAATGTCATTGCCCTAGCAGGCTGTGTACATCAGGTATATTGGAGAGTGGGATCGTTAGGGTTCTGTGTAATTAGCAGTGCAACTAATGTACTCTGTAATGCTTTCTTCTCCAAGGGTTGGCCCTGATTATGTGGGTTAGCAACTTCATTGGCTCCTAGCTCTGCACTGAGGTCTCACACAACCTCCAGTGTGTTTGTCCTCACACAGCTCAGGTGTGGGAAGCGAGCACAGTACAAACTGTTCCTAGGTCAGATGTTGGAGGAGTCTGCACAAAATCAGGATGAACAAGGAATTGAGCCCAGGTCCTAAGTGCCTATGGCTGAAATGGATTGTTAGACAGGACCACCTCATAGGTGAAGAAAACCAGGATATATTCTGATGGAGTATGAGATTTTTACAAGATGAACAGAGAGCTTTACACCTGTTCAGATCTGATCTTCTTAGCCCATACCTCAAATTGTCCTTAAAAAGACTGAGTAATTTTGGTGTCATGCAACTGTGTATTGTGATGGGGTTGCTCTGTCCTCACAAATGAAGTAAATGTATGTCTGGAATATATGTGTATTTTACTTCTAAATAACAATCACAGTCTCCTTGTTGAACTCCACCTATTACCTGTATCTTTCTTTTTCCTCACGTTCAGTCAGGCTGACGTTGCTTTAATCCTGTAACAATGGCATCTGATCATGCACATCTGTAGATTTCTATGCAATAACCTAGTTACCTACAATTTAAAAAAATTCCACCCCAATTCACATATTTTGTAAAGCTTTCTCTTTTTCGAAGTTTCCTGGTGAGATACTTTCTGTTCAAATGGAGGAGATTTATATCATATGAAATTTCCATTTATAGTTAGCTTTCAAGAGTTAATAAATTCCACTAACAGTTAATTTCATTGGCAGTTCCTGTCACACAGCCATGATGAAGCACCCAAACTCAATGCTTATCAAGCTGTTGCAATTGGGATTTCCCATACTCTAGTTAGCACCTTACAGTCCTGATCCTTAGCTGACCTGAAGCTGTGAATCTGTACTGCGTCTCAGGAAGAGACCTGGGTACTCATTAGACTCTTCCAGGGCATCCTTGGAAGGAAACCTGTGCATGTGGGCAGGAAGGGAGCTGTGGTGTGCTCCTGTGAGGTCTTCTCATCTGTGTGACTGGGGGACCAGCACCCTGAAGGACACCATGAAGCCCACCTGCCCTGAGGCAGTTGAGGTTCAGCCGTGGCACACACACTGGGACTGCTCTGCACAGAGAAATAGTCACTGTCTGGAGCTCTTCACTTCCCTGAGGCCTGTGTAGGTGCAGCTTTCCATCATCCCTTGGGATCTCTGGCAGAGGGAGTTGCCCACCTGTATTCCCCAGCCACAAGGGTCGGGACTGGTTTCCTATAGCTGCACCATTGCCTGGTGACTTCTCAAGTGCAGAGCTCCCCAATTCCAGCTTCCAGTGAAACTCAAAGCAAACAAGTTGGATTCAAAGCCAATTCTCTAAGCTTTAGTCAGCATAAGACATTTACATTCTTAGTGGGATTTAAGATATCTGTCCTGCCCTGCAGTGGTTTTGTCACCATCCCACAGTGCAGTTTGAGCTCAGACACCTGTAGGATTTGCAGTTCTGCAGAGCCCCATCTCAAAACCAAGCCATCTCTTCTTTTCACACAGGCAGCTTGCTGTTCCCTTGGCTAGCAGTAGCCTCCTAGCAAAAGAGCACAATCCTCTGCCCTTCTCTCCTGAGCAGTGTGCCAGTGCTGCAGTACATCCCCCAGCTCTCTCCAGGACACGTGGGGCTTTAAAGACACACCAAGAGCCTGCTCTTTTTCTCTTTTCTGCAGGAACCCAGCACTATCCAGGCAGCTGTCTCCAGAGAGGAGCTGGAGAAAAGTGATTGCCTTTATCAGATGGCCATCGCACAGCCTCCAGTTTAGTGTTCCTCTGCAACTAGATTGCACCAAATGCACTTTAACCAATTACCCAAATTGGCACATTAATCAATTGTCATTAACTGATGCAGGACCTAGCAAATTAATAAACTCCTTATTGGTCATCTTTAACCCTTTGTATTAGTGTGGCTGTAGCTATCTGTGACATGCATAATGCAACATGCTTATGCTAACTTCTATTTTCTATAAGCTCTTCATAAGCCACTTATAAATAGAAGCTTAATATGAAGTGTGACAGATCTCTAATCTTTAGTCTCTCCTTAGCCCTCCAAGCGCCTCCTTTCTGGAAATACAAAATATATCCAGTGTGCCCTAGATATTCTCCATTCTTGCTGATGACTTTACTTCTCAGCCATTGATTCTTTCCACTTCTTAATCAGTGTAAATAGATCAGTGCTGCAACCTCTTTTTATTCAAAATTTTAAAAAGAGCAATGAGATCAAAGGGACATTGAAGGGGTGATGAATTGAAAATATATTTTGTTGCTCACGTGATTCTGTGAGGCAGAGGGTCCATATAATGGAGACATAAAAAACCTGTATTCCTTCTCCATTGCAATAAAGAGGATTGGAGTGAATTATCTAATGGAAGGTACAAATACTGAGAAAATACTGTGCAGCATTGATGTAGTGCCAGTACTTTGTGACATTCTCTTTCACCAAAGGCCATGTGTGTAATGGAGCCCCTGTCACCACTGAACAAATGCTGTGGCACAAAGTGCCTGGTGTAGGGTTACACAGCAAATCTGTGCCAAAATACGGGATAGAACCCTAATATCCTGGTACATGGAAATTTTTATGAGTCTGTACTGGATTTGTTTGTTTGTTTATGTCTGTGGGGGAAAAGCCTGAGCTTCACAGTCTCAGGTGATATGGAAAATTTAGAATTAATACCTCTTCATTTCAGCATGTCACTCAGATTTTGTTGAGCCAAATCCCTCCAGAATCCAGTGGTTTTCACTTTGACTTTAAAAGTAAAGCCCTGTAGTTACTCTTTACCCTTTCCTTACATTCAGCTATGATCACTATAATAATGTATGTTTCCAGGCAATTAATGTATTGATATGCATTCACAGACAAGCACATCTGCTCTGTTTCTCACAAAAAGGAGAACACCTGATGTAGAGAACATCAGGTGCAGAACTTGCAGGATTTAAAACACATTAGCCAAAGCTAATGTCTGCAAATTGTAGCCTAACCCAGCACTTTCTCAGCCACAGATTCCTCCCCCTCTTTTTCTCTCCCTAAAACTTTTGCTGTTGCGTCACTGATAAATAACAGCCCTTTCCTCGGTAATATATCCCTGCTGTATTTAAGGTTTTGCCCTCCTACCCATTAAACCTCTCCTCATCAGCATTACTTTTACTTTTCAGAAACAAATATTCAGTATTATGGGCTGGGAGTTCTTTTGTTTTCCCCCCATAGATGTAAAACCCTGGGGGATTTAAGTATCTACTTGATAGGCTCACACAATCTTAATCAGCCTATAATGGAGCTAATGGCTGTTTGTCATCCTTGGAGATATAAATTTCCTGGTGATGTCTACTGCAGTCAGTACATGAAGTATGCTCTGACTGCCAGCAAGGTCTAATAACCAGGAGAAGGGCAGCCAGCTTCATTATCGAGCCTGAGACTGTACCGGCTGCTTTTCTTGGGAACTGTGCTTTTTGAATACCGAGAGGGAATAATGGATAATACCGGTAAGTGAAATAAAACAGATCTTCATTCTTAGTGGAGCTACGGGGTTCGTTTGTATCCTCTCTCTCTTGCTGCAGGAGATGTGTTTCTTTAGCCTCTGTGGCTTCTTCCTTTTAAATGTCCTTTATTAAAGCAAAATTTTATGTCTAAAATGTGACACGCTTAAGTTGTTAACCCCTTAACGGTCTGGGTTTTTTTCTGCTCTAAGTCTGTTTCCTGGAAATGTGAAGCTAAACTGTAATGTAGGATCTGCCTTTTTAAGGTATTCAGTGTTATTTTGGAAGCTATAAGCAGGAAATGTGGCAGGAAGGGAAAATGAGTGTACTTCAGAGAGAAATCTCTCTCACAGTTTGAAATAGGTGTGGATAGGTAACTAATAAAGCTAACAAAAAGTAGATAATGGTTAGCTCTCATCTGTCTTATTTTAAGCTGGTTTTGTTTTCTCTGTGTAATGCCTTACTCTCTTTCATATTTAGTACATAAAATATTGAATATATTTGCACTTTTTATTTTCTTTGATGTTCCAACTTCAGATCATGCATTTTCATCCCAAATAATGCACTTCACGGTTTCTAAGGAGGCACACACATCATTACATCGGTGATGAAATGCATTATTTGCATTTCCCTTTTGCATTACCTTGTATCACAAGGCAGAGAAAAAAGAGAGCTTTTTGGGACAGCTATTTTGCAAGCTGCTTTGACTGCCGTGAAACTTGAATGTGTTGAGATCTCACAGATTTATTGGTACTAGTGTAATACATATTAGGAGACACAATCTGCAGTAGATTCAGTGCCCTTTGAAACCTGCTCAGATCATCAGATTTGTCTAATGTTGACCTTAAAAGTGACAATCACCACTACAGTGTGTGGCAAAGATTATTCTATGATAGCTTTCAGTGATTTTCTGGGGGTTGTGGGTGTTTTGAATTTTTTTTTTTTAATAGTAGAAGAAAAACTCTTGCTTATGTCTGCTAAGCTGTCCAGGTCATTCTCATCTCACATGTATCGTTATCAACTTCTGTGACAAACAGATAAAAGGGTTTTGCTGCCTTTATTTCTATAAAGTCCAAGACCAAAAAAAAAAAAGCTTTTCTAAAATATAAAATGTAACATCATGGAAAATTACATTGCCAGCATTTAAGAAACCTGACATTGTCCTAGTAAAATGTTCTTTTTTTAGAAATAAATAAGATTACCAATACTCTTTGCACTTGGTGCTTTGGCTAGCTTTTAAGAAGCCTTAACATAATAAATGATAATGACTTGTGTTTGATATTGCATGACGAGGCAGAATTTTCTGCTGGAGGAGAAGGATCCCTGCTCTCCAACACAGAATGCCTGTGGGCAAGAGATATCCTGGCAGGCAAAGGTGGTAATTCCTCCAGGTTTTTACACTCCTCAGCATCAACAACTAATACTATTGAAGTCTTGACAGAGATACCACTTGAACCCCATTATAAGTATCTGTTCTGGAATGAGTCACATTTATTTTAAAGGCCAGTTTTAGGGGGGATGAAGAGGGAAGCTAGTGTCTGAAAACCATAGAAACAGATTTTCCTCTGTGTAGGGTGTTGGTTTTTTTGTTTGGTTTTTTTCTGTTTGTTGGTTTGGTTTGATTTGTTTTTTTGCTGGTTTGGTTTGGTTTGATTTGGGGTTTTTTTTGGTTTGGTTTGGTTTGGTTTGGTTTGGTTTGGTTTGGTTTGGTTTGGTTTGGGGATTTTTGTCCTAAGGAAGAAACCAGTTTGGTTACTATCTGCAAAAAGTTAAAATAAGTAAGGATTGATGTCTGTACAACTTACCAGCTATTCTCAAAGCTTCTTATAACATTAGTTTTCTGAATAACTCGAGGTATTTTTTTCTCATGTGGAAACAATGACTGATGCTTGCCATGTTTAGAAAACTACCTATATACCATTGAAATTGGTTCAAAGAATCCTTTCAGACAATAACTAAAATCTAATTGTAAAAAAAAAAATAAGAAAAAAATAGAAAAAAAGCCCCAAACCAACCCAACAACAGATGAAGCTAAGCCATACTGCAGACACTATGGCAGAAGGTAAGGCTGTGATCCAGTTTCTTTCATGGTTACCATTGATCTTCCTGCTCCCTGTGGTCAGCTTGCTCCAATCCCCCAGTGGGCTTCAGCCCCACGGGCGGTATGGACACACTCCCTTCTCCAGGCAGCTCTTCTAAGAGTCCAGCCACTTCCATACTTTGAGTGCTATAGGGAACACATCCATTTCCAAAGAGCCTGCAGGGTGCTGGGTAAACTGGGTAAACAGCTGGGTCTGTAGGGGAATGTTTAGGGATTTTGATTCCTAACTGGGATGCCAGTGTGGGGACTGTGCAGCTGAATACCTCTCTGTATCTGGCCTGTCCCCCTGACATCTACAGGGATGGGAGAGCACCTTTGAAAACCCTTGTGGTGTCATCTGGGCACTTAAGAGATCAGAGAGCAGCAGGATTATTTGCATCCCTAAGCTCAACTGCCTGATTAATTTGTTCTTCAGCAGTCTGACAACTAAAATGTAAACACTCTGATGTATATAAACTGGATACCTGCCCAAATCCTTCCTGGAGAGATGCTATTTCTGGCAATACAGAACTGCGGAATATTAGCAAAGCTGAGTGTTTTAGCTACTGAGTGTTAGAAATAACAGTTTGGTATCAGTGTCAGTGAATCAGGCCTCTGTTATTAAACTCATCATGCTGCTGAAGAGACTTTCAAAGTCAGACCATGGATAATTGTTGGGCAAAACTCCATCTTCTGCTCCACATAATAGAAATATCTCTGTAATTCATCTCTCTTCTCCTCTGCCATCATTAACATTATTTTCTGGCCAAAACTGTCATTTAAAAAGATCAGTGTTACTAATAGGTCACCTGTGTACACTTTTAGCTGTTATGTTTGATGCCATTTTGTGGGGTTTAGAAACAATGTTTAAAAATTTTTAAACAATTGTTTAAAAAACAATTTTAAAAGTCCTTTCTTTTAAGCGTTAGATTGCTTTTATTTTTATTCTGTGTGCTGAGACAGCTCCACATAATTGTTGTCTCATGTGTTCTTTTAAAAGCCTTTCCTGGAATAACAATTAAATATTCATCCATCTGTGTAGGGCACAACAGGACAGTTCTAGTCATATTTTTTGCCTATTTTGGCATCAGCTGTTTGTGACAGGCTATCTGCAGGTATTCATTCAGCTGCAAGGCTGCCTGCTGCTCTGGGCAGGGCAGGGAAGCCAGCAGCCTCCACTGGCAGGTCTTGGGCTCCAGCTTTGCTGCACACATCTACTTTGGGCCGAACACATCAAGCCTGGAGACAGCAGTGAGGTAACAAAACTCATTTTTAAAATATAGGAAGGTTTGGAAATAACTTGGCGGGGGAGAGGGCAGGGGAAAGCAAAATATAAAAGCAGCAAGGAACTTGCAGAAGCAGGAAGAAAGAAGGTGTGGAAACAGAAGTGCCCCTAAATGATGCATTTTTAGAGGGGATTTCCTTTAAGGAGTGAGATCAGCAACATCCCTACCCCCAGAGCTCCTAATCAGCTGTGTCCTGCTGAGACAGACATCTCACCTTAAAACAGACAAGTTTTATACACTCATTCTTACAAAGAAGAATGCCAGTGTGATGTGCCAGAGGCTTGGGGGAGGAATCTCATGGGGGTGAATGGTACCATGGTGAGGTCCCGTGTCATGCATACCATGCCAGTAGTGAACAAAACCAGGAGGCCTTGTTTCATGTTTCTTGGGGATTTATATGACTTCTTTGCACTTGGATTATTATTTTAGCAGTAATGAGCTAGCTGTGGTTAATTGTTACCCTGAATTATGTAGGTTCTGCAGCTGTGGCTGCAGGCTATGCCTTCAAGTAAAAAATGTGTTTTAAAGGGACTGGAGGTTTTGTCTGTTGTACAGCCTATCTCTGAGGAATATCCAGTAGCAACATCAAACTTTATATTTGACCTATGCTAAAACTTAGAGCTTTCCATTGAGGTCAGACTTTAACTCCAAGGCCTGAAAAGCTGTGGGATGGGGAGGCTAGCAAGTGGTCAATTTAGCCTTCTGCATGACATCATGTGTTCACAGGAAGGGTAAGAGACAGAGGAAACTGTGGACGGAAATTCCCTTGCTTTTGAAGTAACTGGTCATTTTTGTCTTTCCGTATGTCAATAGGACTTAGCATTATTTAAATATAAGACTGCTGGAATTGAATGCTGCTTGAGGATTTTACAGATACTGTGTTATATCTTACCTGATTCTGAGGCAAACAGGGTGTATTTTTCTAAAACACAGAGGAGGAAAAAAAAAACAGACAGAAGAACAAAACTGGGAGGAGGATTTCAGTTTATGATCCTGATTTCTCATCAGTTCATGGTGTTCAAAAACCTCTAACCTAGCTGAGCTGATCTGTGTGCAGAACTAGGGTAAATAACAATCTCAGTGAGTTGTAAGGTTCATTTGTTGCCCATAAAGGGCTCTGAAATCCTTTGTCTATCTAAGGCTTAAGCTCGTCTGAATTGTCCCTGTGAATTTGGAAAGCCATTAACACAAAACCACTTGCAATGGAGACAGTGGCAGTGTCACTACAGGTTTGTGAGCCCTTGAGACAATTCCCAGCTCCAGCAGTAAAATCAGTCACATCCTTTGGCAGCTTCTGTTTTGATCTTTGATGGTACTTTGTCCATGTTCTCCCCAAGTGTGAAGGTGTTTTTAGAGGGGACGACTGCACCTCCTTTTTCTGTCCCACTCCTATGTAAAGGGGGCTATCTATGAAGCCATGTTTCTTTTATTGGGTCCATTTGCCATGTTGTGTAGATCACAAAATTGTTAGCTCATGGACAATAAAATAAAAAGTAAAAAGTAACTCCTTTATACTACAGTGTATTCTAATTTGAGTTCTATTTTCACCCATGCCCCCAGCTGAAGTGAACACTCTAGTGTATCACAGGTCACTGTTTGCCAGAAAGTTGTATTTCTTCTTGTTACAATTTTAGAATAAT